AAAATAGTATAGGTAATTTGGGCCCCTACATTACAGTGCTCCTCCAAGCCCTAAACCCTAAACCCTAAACCGTAAACCCTAAATTACCTTAAACCCTAAACCCTGAATCCTAAACCCTAAACCCTGAACCCTAAATTACCCTAAACCCTGAATCCTAAACCCTAAACCCTAGACCCTAAATTCTTGGTGAGATTCTACAGTGCGCCTCCAAGCTCAGCAGATCTGGACAAGCCGTTTCACTTCTTCCGCTCCCGGCCTCGCTCTGCTTGGCATCCCAGGAGATCTTAGGTCTAAGGGTTTAGGGTTTAGGGTTTAGGGTTTAGGGTTTAGGGTTTAGGGTTTAGGGTTCAGGATTCGGGTTCAGGGCTTTAGGGTTTAGGGTTTGGGTTTGGGATTTAGGGTTAAGGGCTTAGGGGACCCCTATATTAAGCTGATAGAGAGAATAGTTTGGCAGCCGTCGGATCGTTTCCTCAAAATCATGCTAGGCTTGTTAGCATACCTCTCTGAGGGATTTGAATGGCGCTCGGATATTTCCAAACTCAGGATGTGCTCAGAGATTGCAAAGCTCCAAGACAGGACCCGGACTGTGCAAGAACCCTGGTCTCCGAAACCCTGTTGGACCTCGAAGAGATTTAGAGGTTTTACATGCCGGCCTTCTCCAGTCTCTGTAACAGCTCTGCTTCCCGCTGCTGCGCCTCGTCAGGAATCATCGGAGCAAGAGATATCGGGCTGTTTAGGTTTCTTGTTTCAAAACCTCGCGGTTTAAGTGAAGCTCTAAGGTGTTCGGAGGCATCCAATGTCAGGGGGCATCGACATATCGAATTCCTGCTAAAGATCCTGTCGTTGGCCGAGGCCCAAACTATCCCATGTTCCCAAACCCTAAACCCAAACTAGCCCATGCTTTCTGCATCCGGACACAAGTTCCAGGTTCAGAAACGCAGGTTTAGGGCTTCAGAGCGCCATCATTACTTCTTCTGACGATGAGTTGTTGAGATTATTGCAATCGCATAGCCAGGCCTGCACTAACGGCAAGAACGTTACAACGGCTTGTGCATTAGCATTATGAGTCATTATTGTCAGTGCTAGTAGCAAGATTACTAAGCTTATTGTTGGTGGTATTCTCATATGATTCTTACTACTATTAGTTATTCTGATTACAATGTACTAAGCAATGTCCGCATCCTACCCTCTACCTATGTAGCATGGCTCCCGAAGTCGTCACCCTTTCGTAGAAAACCAACTCGACATGAGTAATCCCACTCGGTAGTTTAGAGAGCTTGAAAGTCAGAGTTAGGCTTCGCTTAACTCATTTTATGGTTTAGGGTTTTTTTCAAAGTGCAATGGCCCTCCTTTCACTCCGCAGACACTAACCCCATAGGGGGGGGGGGGGGGTTAAGGGTTAGGGCTCAGGGTTTAGGCCGTATAACATCAGCAGGGTGATCAAGACCATAATCAACAAACTTCTCTTTCTTACACACACACACAGTGGTAGCACGATTTTCATTACCGTTGCTGGCATCACCTTCATCACCGTCATAATTGTGGTTGTCTTCATCTAGACCACCGACATCATCAATGGCAACATCATCACCAGCATCATGGTTGTCACCATCAGCACCATCATCCTTATAGCCACTGTGACCGGCCGAGCCATTAGCATCATCATCTAAGATCACCACACAAATAATCATTGTTGTCATCGGCATCATTATCTTCGCCCTCACCATCACCATCGTCATCATCATCACCACCGCCACCATGACCATCAACGTCATAATCACCAACGTCATCATCACTCTCACGGATATCATCATCATAATCATCGTCGCTGTCATCACCGTCACCACCACCCTCACCAGCACCACCACCACCACCACCACCAGCCGCCGCAGCAGCAGCAGTATCAGCATCAACATCAGTAATCAGCATCAGCATTCGCATGAGCATCATCATCGTCATTCTCATCCCCATCATCATCATCATCATCATGATCACGATTATCATCGCAAATCATCGACATGTCCATCCTCATCAACCTCGCCTTCATGAGCATTGTCATGTTCATGTTTTATCCATAGCGTCTCCTGTGCAACATCACCATCACCAGCGGCATCGTCATCAGCACCACGGCGCAAACGTTTGTGTATAGAAAGCTGCTGCGGCTACCGTGATGCCAGCAACAAACAACTATGGTCGCAAATATGATGATACCAGGCATCGTCCTCTTGTCGACATTGCTGCCACACCAATGAGTTACCACACTTATTTCACACCTTTCGTTTCTTGACCCTCGACCCTGAAGCTCTTCGTACTTGAGACAGTCCCCAGACCTCAGCGAGCTGTTTCTGGAGCTCCAGGATCTTGTCATCTCTCTCCGCCAACTGAGCAGTACTTACGAGTTCAATTCAGGTTGCATACAGCCGCTCACCTCACTTTAAGGTGAGGGTTGAACGATTAAGCTCATCCTGAAAAGCGTATCAACCTGAACGTTTCTCCGGTCTGTTGCAGGGACGTCGGCTGAAGAATCGGTCTAGTGCGAAGCACGCGACCTAGCACGGACTAAGGAAAGTTGATATTTCTTGTGACTGACATGTGACACGTGCGTGCTTTTTCATGCAACGGAAGACGGTCAAGCGAAACGATTGGACAGCCTGCGCTACAAACTCCAAGCCGGGTGCCCGTCTTGACCAACCGTTCCCACCAACAGCCTCGTAGGCCCTCTGCTTGCAGGTTCATGGGTAGTTATAAGTGGAGTTATAAGTCCCCTAATAGGGTTATAATTATAGTTACCCTACTTATAACCCTACTTATAACTACCCATGAACCTCCAAGGAGGGTCGCTTGGAGACGTTTTCGTTCCCGGCCGCCGCACCGTGCTTTCCCAATGCCAGCCATGAGACTAGAGTAGTAACCCTATAAACCCCTAAAACCCTAAACCCGAATAGTAGGAAGAAGCCCCACCAGGGCTGCCACGGTATGGACAAACAACCCACCCATTTGCAAACTTTAGACTTCCAACTGCTCAGAAGACTGTGGGCTTCCCTCCTATCAAAGGCGTGGCTTGCGACTAGTTGTTCCATGATCCTAGAGGCCGATAGATTCACATCGCAACTTCCAACGACTCAAATTTTGAGTGCATCCCACGCATCCCCGCCTCAACTGCCAAACTACCCGAGCTCAAGTTGTCCAGGGGGGATCCTATTTCAACCCGAAGCGCTCCGAATCGGAGGGGAGAGGGAAGCCCCACATCCATGCGTGTTCTGAGCGCTGTTCGCGAGCGCTTCGTTCTGGCCTGGGAGACGCAGAGGCAGATTAATGTCTACAAAAACAAAGGACCTAATGAATATAACACACACCTGGACCCCAAAAGTGTGCAGAATAACAGCCCTTCATAGGCTTTGGGCCATTATTCTACCTACTTTTGGGGTTTAGGTATAAGAGAACAGCAAAAGGATCATAAAGGATCTGTAATACAAGGACACGCAGGTTGAAACGTCGAAGTCTCCAGAACTTACGTCTGCTTGACGAACGAGGTGCTCTGTTGAGCACTGTATCGTTTCTATACCACGTCGCAATCCGCCGTTGTGCAAAGCATGTACATGCTGTGATTAAGCGTTCGAAGTGCATGTTGCAAGCAGCGACTTAGGATTGTAGGCGGTGAGAGTGCGAGGCAATGATTAAGATACTTCCTTCCAGAAACTTTCCAGAACAAAACCTCAGCATCTTAGGTTGGCCTGCTGTTGGGCGATTTCCTTTTCTGCGCCTATCCGACGTGTTGAGAAAGATCCCGCACAGGATGTCAAACTGCATGCATTGTTTTGACAGAATCTAAATGCTAGGGCCGCTAGGGTCAGTCGCGACTGTGCGCGCAGGCTCACAGTTCGGACAATCACTGCCCACCTGCATCAGCCCCCAAACCGTAAAACCCACCAAAACAGTACAACATGCACCCCCCTCCAAACAGAAAAGCCTACACCGAGAAGAGCAGGTTGTTTGGCCTTGGCACCGAACTACCCTTCCAAAGTTGGAGCTAGGGCTAGATTGCAGCGCATTCGGGACCCAGTGGTCCCTATTCGCGGCCGATGTCCTCGTTTGGGTTGGCCGATGTCCTCGTTTGGGTTGTTCTGAGTTCTGAATAGAGGAAACCCACAGAGCCAGAAGGAGCCCAGAGGAAAGAAAACAGTGCTGCTGGATTTGGCGAGGTCGGCTCAGTCTGAGACGACGGCCGGTCCAAGTGAGTTCGATGCCATCCCGACTGTCTTCGTGTCCTTGCTCCAGGGCGGCGATATCTTATGGAAGCCCCGCCTTTCCCAGAACGCCAACTTCGCTTAGGGAGATCGGAAATTGCAAAGCTCTCACTCTCTGTGCGCGTGAGAGAAGACACTCGTGGTCTGGGATCGGGGAGAGGAATCTTACATTGTAAGTACTCGAGAGTTGCGGGGTCACGCTCGCGGGCACTTCCGGCTGCATGTGGTCTATGAGGTCTGGGTCAGATGTGTGCACTACTGCAGGGGCTCGCCGGGATGTGGCACACTGCAGGCAACGCCCAGTCCACACAGGCTCGAGATCCTGGCAGGCAATAGGGACACATGGGGCCATGGGGCAATGCTTTGAACTCTTTCGACGCAGCTGGCATGTCCGCTGTCTTGATCTCCACGTGCATATCGCAGGTGCTCGTTGACGGGATGCTGCTTGAGGCGAGGCTTTGATTGAATTCTCTGGCTCTTGCAACATATCAAGTCTAGCAGCGACATCACATGTGCATGTAACGCATCGGGATTGCTTGGTCGCAGCGGCTTGGCTTCGTGCATATGGAAAATCGCAGCCACATCTCCCAAAGACTTGCCAGGCTGGAACGCTCATGTCTGCGACATGCTGGCCCCTTTGCAGAACTGCCAGCCTGGAGGCTTGGACACCCTTGCTGTCGACATCACATGGTGGTCGCCCATGCCAGCTAGTCCATAGCATGTCCATGGCACCCTGAAAAAGCATGTGGCCGTCTACGGAGCAGCGGAGCCTTGGGGCTCCAGGAGAATACACAGAGGCGACGCATGGGACTGCTCTACAGCACCCTCGTCGGCAGGCATGTCCCATGCCGTGGCGGCATCTGGTCGCTTGGAACCCTCAGCATCACCACCATCTCCGATAACTGCTTCCGTCAGTGCAGGGGCCGTGCCATCTTGGCGTCCCTTGGGATCGCAAGCACGATCACACTCGCCGACAGCTGCCTCCTCCAGTGCCCGAAAGCTTGATGTGCACAAGCCGCATCCTTTGTTATCGCAAGCCATGCACGGGGCGGTACACAGACCACAGCCAGTACCACCACAAGCCACACATCCAGCATCTTGATCTTGATGCTTTTGGTCATGCCGGCGAGGTCTGCAAAACCGCCGTGCGCAAGCAACTGAGCCGAAGACGACTAGAAGTCCTACAATCAACCCTCCAATCCCAAATGCTGCCAGCAGCAATATCTCATCGAGAGACTGGCCAGCGACACAGGGGATGAAGGCTAGCAAAAGGGACAAAGTCTGTGAGCATCGCCCAACCATTGAAGCCGCTGCCTGCGTAGCTCTGCCGGCCCGGCCAAGGCGACTTTTCCATCCACTACGGTTGCCCCAACCCTCACATGTTGAACCTGGTGTAGCGAAGCTACATACATACTGTTTCTTTGAGCAACATGATGGACACGAGGTTTCTATTGCAACAGGACTCGGTACCATGCCACTTTCAACACAGATGTTGTCGGAAGCCGATGCAACTGACAATCCGACGCATGAGCCGTAGCCAGTAGCACTTGCAATTTCATGTCGTTTTTTGGCTGTGTTTGCCTGGATCCGCTGCAAAGTCAAGAGCCGACAGGCACACATCAAGCTGAGACGTTCAGCTTCAGGATTTCGGCTTGGTGACTGAACACCGTCATATCTCTGTGGCTGGGGTGTTACTTAAGCTGCGTGCTGTTCCACCCACGGCGACGGCTTTGGGAGATGCCTCACCCGGCCACCAGCCAACAGCCCGTTCCCCATCTGGTAAAACCGGTACAGAAACTTTGCCCTTGATCGCAGCCGCACGGCTGATGATGCACAATCACGCACCACCACCCGCCCTACATGCAAGCCCAAGTCTTGGAAAACTAAGGGGTTCCCTTTCGGGCTCCTTGCGTTAAGGATCCGAAATCTGATCTGAGGCCCGCACTTCTAACGGTTCCTTCAACTGACCGGTTGCATTGAACCTCGGCATCGGACAGTTGCACCTTTGCAACTCTTTCCTTGATACCGCGGAGAAAGCGACGGAAACAAACATATATGCCTGAGTGGGCTGTGCTAACCAACATGTGCAAGCATGCAAGGACACCCGCGTCTGGGAAGTTGTGTGGGCGAGAGGACGCACACTTCGTGGATCAGATAATGCGATTCAACCTTACTTGTGGTTTGCTGGGGTCTTGGGGAAAATCGCTAAAATCCAGGCCCAGGAGTCTTCATCCGTGCAGAAACGAAAACTTCTCTCAAACCGTTTGGCACAGTATCTCACACTCTGAGCCCCATGCATGGAGCGAGTTACTTTTGTGTCGCCCACATACGGCCGCGCTCCTCAGCAGTTTATTTACTAGCCCAGCACTGCCAATATGGTAGCGACGGGCCGACTGTCCAAGCTTGAGGAAGGCTCCATCAGGCTGGCAGATGCAAACGCAAAGCAAGCAAAGCTATGAGATGCAGAGATTTGCACGGAGTGTGAGGGATGTGCATGTGCAGAAGGCGTCCATAAGCCATGAGCTTCTCAAGCAAACTGCTTCATTGTCCAGAGCCGAGCTTTGCAAGCACAGGTCGATATCTACCTACCTACCTACCTACCTACCTACCTACCTACCTACCTACCTACCTACCTACCTACCTCTCCATTCTTCCTCTGTCTCTCTCGCTTAAAGCGTAAGTCTTGAAGAAGGCGAAACATGTAGATAGAACGGGCGAAGCATATGAAACTAGCGCAGGAGCGACAGGAGGAACAGAACAACGAAATCCAGCAGCAAATCCGCAAATCCACCCTCAAACTCCAAACCCCCTTGAGTTCTGCCTTCCCAAGCAATCCTAGAGCCGAGCTCACACGTGGAATCCGAGGTCCAAGCCATTCTTGGCTAGAGTCAGGGCCTGGCCAGCCGGGCACATGCGAAGCCCTCTGCATGAGACGTGTTTGGATTCCTATCCAAGCGGATCAGAAAGTACGAATGCTTCCTAGATTTTCACTGCGGTCTACAACCCTGGTCTGAGCAGAACAAGGTTAAGAATCTCATGGGTTCTCCGCCTGCATCGGCGTGGCCAACGGCCGCTTCTTCTTCGCTGCATCCTTTCACCAGGTTTCGGGCCCCAAAGACAAGCCGAGATGACCCGTTTGATCCAAACATCACTGCTCCCTCCGGCCATCTGCCTCCCCTTGCGTCTTCGAGGCCGTGGCTGAATCCTCTTCACGGGCCTTCTGCGGTCCAGAGGTTTAGGGTTTAGGGTTTTGGGGTTTAGGGTTTTTTTGCCTCCTAAGGGTTCAGGGTTTAGGGTTTAGGGTATGTTTTGAGAGGTGTTGGGAGGCGGGGAAAAGGTGAAACTGCTCCTTTGCAAAACCTCGTGTAGATCCAAGCAAATCCAGGTGCACCGTAAAGCACAGCTGTATTCAAAAGATCCACTTCACCAACCAGAGGCCTGTCCAAAGACTGTGGGAAAAAACGGCTGGCTCATGCCACGTCACTATGTCATAAACCCCGAGCCGTGAACACCGAAGCCCAGACATGCTGAAGCCCCTCGGCTTGTGGGCTTCGGCACTCACACGGGGGACAGGCCAGGTGATTTTTTTGTAGTTTACGCTCTCACAACTCTGACATGCCAGGCGAGGTGCGTAGTTTAGGGTCTAGGCTTTCGGCGCCCACACTCGGACACTCCAGGCGAGGCATGTGGCTCGAGGTCTTGCTGAACAGGGTCTAGGCTTTGGGGCTTCCTGCTACTTCATGAAAGCTCGGATATGTCGCCGTCACAACCTAGGCTAACTCAAACCCTTTTGGTTCCGGGCTGCTGCAAGGAGCTTTGCAGCCCTGCCTTTGCCACGCGATGGAGTTGCAGGGTGCTGGTGAGGACTCGGCCGAAAGGCTGCCTACTGGTTGATGGTCAGAACATGGTTTCCATTGTTCTTATTGTGATTATCCTCGCTCTTATGAGCGTCCCGATTCTTATGAAGCATCTTGAGACTTCGACTTCTACTTTTGTTATTAATTAGGCGGCAGTCCTTGCTTGGCTTGGCCATCAAGCCACTCCCGGAGTCTCATGGGTAGCTTCAAGGGGTGTGTAAGGCACTGATACTTCCAGCACATGCAAGTCCAGGATACCAACACAAGGGCTATTGGATGCTCTTTCCAATTCTGTGCCATGGGCTGTTGATCTGCGCGGTCTCTGGTTGGGCAAGAAGCGCTTATTCGGGTTTGGGGAGTCGGAGAACCTGATGTGATTCTGAGCTTGTTACCAACGACCTGAAGCGGCCCTTGCTGCTAAAAGCAGGAGAAGAGCCAACAGCTAGATAACAACTTTGTAGCACGGAGCCTCGAGTCTCAAAAGTACTCCCAGCCTTCGAGCAGGAGCCTCGGCCGCTGACCGGCACACCGGGAGCCCGCAGCAGTGCCTGCCATGCGGCTCACTTACGACTTACGGAGGTGCTTTGGAGAAAGCAGGCCTGGACTGCAGGCCCGAAAGAGGGCAGTTTTGAGCTTCCGGGTTCGGACTAACATCCGAAGACATCCGAAGTAGTTCGGCCACTGCGCTGCAGAAGGTCTTGCTGCCGTTGCGATGAACACACGAGAAGAAGCCAAAAACATCCTATATCAATCCTCGAGGTCTATCTTGCTCTAGCCGGAGTCTTTGGATGTCTTTGACAAGGCGGGCATTGTGCTTACGGCCACGATAGTGCACTCGCGGTCGATGTTGACGAGGAAGAGCTTCCCCCGGAAACCAACACAGCCTCAACCCAAACAAACGAGACGACGGCTCGCCGCAGAATTCAGTTCTGAGCACTTGCCTGCACTTCCTGGAAAGTACTGAATGGTATTGAACACTCCCTCGCTGCTATGATCAAGCAAGACCAAGCGCCAGCGCTCCAACCTCTTTTTTCTTTGCCACGCCGCCGCTCAGTGCCATGGGAGATGTCCGAGCATGCTTACACCTTGAAGCCGCGAGACTTCCTGCGTCCGCGGGACTTCTCGAACTTGCGACCTTGCGTGGAGATCTGCTTCTTTTCACGACCAGGGGCTCGACTACTCATGCTGCAAGTATTGCGTGGTCCCGAAAAAGCCCTCGTTTGGGTTCCACTCGCAGTCTCTTGGTTCGGCGTTTGGGATTTGCAACTTCTGTTGATGTTTTAGGGGCAAGCTTCGATGGTGGTCTGTTGGTCCTTGTTCCAGAAAGCTCCTGTTAATACAGCAAGAACGGTACGTAGAATCTTGGAGATTAGCCTCGGACATTGGAAGCCTCACCAAATTCTAGATCCAAACGGGTTAAACACCCCCTCTTGTAGTCCACCGTGGTTTCGGACCGCAAGCCCCGGCACTTGAGACCGCCCTCCTCAAGTTTGAACGCATTCTCTAAGACGCAGGACCTAAATGGGGGTTTCCAAAAATAGGGGACCCTAATATATTACCCCTAAATAATAGGTTCCTTATTATAAGGACCCCAAAATAAGGTACCCCTTTTTTTCTGAAAGTCCCACATCTCGGACCACAGAGCTCTCCCTTGACCGCCTAGCCTAGCATTAGCATAAACACGCCCCGCAACTCCTTTTTGTGGGCTGGACGAGGATCAACTCCGCTAGGCACCAGAAACTGCCCGATGCCCGGAAAAAGCTAGGAGACACCAGGGAACCCTTACAGGAACCTGAAATGTTCGCGCCTTTGGAGCGGACATAGGGGGCCGTCTTCGAGTTGGGCACCCCGGGAGCCTCGCCAAACTCTTGCTACCAGACTTGGCACTTCCACATATGTTGGGATTTACTTACACATGCACATTGACATACGCATACATATATACCTAGGTACATATATATATATATATGTATATATATATATATATGCATATTCATTCATGCATGTATGCATACATGTATGTATGTATGTATGTATGTATGTATGTATGTATGTATGTATGTAT